TAGCACTGGTCACCTCAGGCTCGAGAAGCCCTCTTCGTCCTCTTCCTTGGAGCCGCTGTCTCCCTTTGGACCAAAGTCTGAATCAGAGTCATCTCCGCTTTTCACCTCGGAGCTCGTCTAGGCATCACCCTCACTCTCGAAACCTGAGCCAGCATCATCATCTCCACTCTCAGATAAGTCTGAATGCTGACTCGCTGCTTCCTCAGAGTCACTCGTCTCGGCATCATCCTCACTCAGAATAGGCTCTGATGGGCCGCTCCCATCTCGGGTGCCTCTGCCTCTGCCTTTGCCTCGGCCGTGTGTCGGACTTTCTCTCTCTCCCCCTGCTGTTGGGGGAGGTACTGCTGGTGCAAGTGTTGTAGCTCTCACTGGCGCCATCAACATGGATGGGATATGAAAAGACAATTGTTGCGTATCAGTTATAACATGTGTATCAGATGCAAGTAAAGTATGTAGAATGAGCATATACACATGTCAAGTACAATGTGAATATAGCATGCAAGTGCAATATGTCAAATGTGGTCTATCGATGCAATTTATCACTACAGTGTGGGATGTTTTCAGTAATGTCAGTGTGTCAGTGGACTCAGTGTATCAGTGGAAAGTTGATGCCCGGAATGAAAAACTGAAGAAACTTACCGGGATACCGTAGAGACTGAACAGCGCCTCCCTTCTCTATATCATCCCCATCATCGAGGCTATCAGCTCGAGGGCACCTCCTGTATACTCGATCAACGCTTGCAAATATAGTTGATTGATTATTATTTTCCATAGATATATTTGAATTGAAATACGGAGTGCAAGTGCTAAAGTGTGGTTCATACCGGAGTCGGGCCTCGGACCCTAACAAGCTCATGACCATCCGCTGCGGGCTCAATCGGGACCTGGTACGGCTCCCTGGTGTGTCATCAGCAAGTCAACGTGGTAGGAAGCTCTGGCCAATCAGCTCTCTGCCCTGCTCGGGAAGCCCCTCTGCCACGGGCCTTGCTCCTCCGGGTCACTCTGCGTCTCGCTCTCGTGGTAGGAGCTTTAGCCTCCTCACCTTCGCGAACACTTGTCAAGGGTGGTATTAGGTGTGTCAAGATGAAGTATGCATAGTCGCCCTCTGCTCGGAAGAAGTCGACCTCGAGGCCCACCATGAACTGGATGACCTCCTCAGCGAATAGGCTCTCTGTGGACTGTATGGACTCTGTTGGAGCCATCGGGGCGACTGGGTCCGGTACGTTCATAATTTGGCGTAAGAAACGCTCACCCAAGAACCATGCCCGGCAAATCGGACCCTCAAAATGAATATGGTAGCAAGAAATAGCCCATGCGCCGGCAAATTGGCCCCGCGCCCCCCTGGCATCAAGGCCCGTAACTGCTACCTGATCTGCAAACAGAAGTAATACAGGGTATTAGTTGTTGTTAGTTGCTAAGTGAACATTTTCAAAGCAGAAATGAAACAACCGTGCTTTCAGAATACCTCATGGGCACCTACTGTATCGAAGTACCGGCGAAATGAAGGTGAAAAGCTCACGAGTCCTGCGGCGAAGCTAACCATCGTATATCTGTGAGTACGGTACCTTCAACGGAAGCTCCACGATAGGCTCCAGGGCAAGGGTCAGAAAGTATGCGTATACCCATAGCTATAGGGAAAATGCAGTGGTATGTGATCAGTAGAGTATCGAGCAGATGCAGAAAGTGAAAAATAGAAAAAGCACAGTGTATGTACTGTATTGAGAATATACAGAAATGCGAAGTAGAAAGTATGTGTTGAAATAGATGTAAAGCAAAAATTGTAAAGAAACTATAAGGTACTAAAAGGAAATTGAGATGTGTATCTCCCAGGCTAGCCAGTAGCCTCCAATCAAATCTCCTCGCAGACGGGAGGTAGAGCTCATGTATCCGTATAGCGTTATGAGGCCAGCTTCGCCCTAGTTGTAGAAGCGAACCCGGGGAAGGGTCACCAGGGCGCTCAGCAAATATAGGCCAACAGTATTGTAATAACCCGATCCTCGCATACGATTCTGATACATTTTCCGTCCCTATTTTCTGCTTTCAAATGCATATCTGTCTAATAAGGAAAACATCTATTACAATTATAATGTTTGAACCAGAAATTGAAAGCCTTGGAGGCTTAATTACCAGAAATTGATTTTACATTTGAAGTCAGCATGATTTTTTGTATTAACAAGATTTTCTGTGATGAAATCCGATTACACTAATCGGATTTCATCTTATTCACTTTTCTTTTATATATGTAATTATCCATGCTCTTTAACCATTGACTTGGGACTTCATCTCATAAAAATATTCTGAGAAAGAGGCTAGGAAAGGGGAATTAGGGAAAAGAGGAAGTTCTACAAGGAAGAGATTGAAGAATTAAGAGAGAGTGTTAGGGATTGTAAAGCTCAAGGTATGGAGGTTACTTTAATTAACTTCTTTCTTGCTTATGGATTAGGAATTCCTTGAGTATTCATGCAACTTAAGGCTTGTGTGTGTGTGTGTGTGTGTTTATGGCACCTAAAGAATTGAATCATGTCTTTCTTTATGTTGTAGTTGTGTTAATGTGAACCATGTAAAGGAATTCATTCCATCTCTTCTTGGCATGCTTGAGCTCAATTGTTGAACAATGGCTAAGCGTGCCCATATCTAAGTGTGTATAGTGTGTATGGGATTGGGTTACATTCATGAGCTTTAGAGGTTAAAGATTCAAGTTATACAAAGATTGGTATGTGGTAATGTTTGTGTACATGATTTTTTTTAAACCTTACTTCATCAAGTAAAGGACCTATCTTGAGCCATATACAAGCTTACCAAAAGGTGGGTTTTATGGGAAATTCAGACTGGAAATTGAGGCAAATTGCCGCACGTGCGGGGGTCATGGCCGCACGTGCGGGAACCTCAGCTGCACGTGTGGGAGTCATGGCCGCATGTGCGGGAAGTGAGGAATTTAGGCACTTCAGCAACTGTCTGAAAAGCACGTGCGGGGCTTACAGCCGCACGTGCAGCCCATACTGAGAAAAACTATTTGCTCCGTTTTGCGTGCTGGACCCTCGGATATTTTTAGAATTTGTATTTTATGCCTATTAATGTGTGTAAAATTCATTTGAAGTGAAATGAATCCGGAAATGATTGAACAAAGAGAATGAACTAATTTGCAAATTATGAAAGTGTGCAGGACACACTCCGGGAGGAACTAGCACGTCGTCACAACACTGTGAGTAGTAGTACGCTTTACTATAACTAGTGTTTGACATTAGCATTTTGTTAACTCTGTTAATTATGTAACTATGTGAATACTCAAAGAATGAGAATGACTAATGAAAAGAATGAAACTACTTTCATATAACTATGGAATTCTGGGCCCATGGCCATTTTGTTTAAGTTGTTATGGTATTAAACAAAGTGGTACACGGAAAGAAGTGCTACGATGTGAGTCACCTCTAGAATTCGTGTGAGACACCTCTTGGGTTCGTACATGCGTGTTCAAGGGCTTAATGCCAATATACTCAAGGGCTCAATGCCAATATGTTCAAGGGCTTAATGCCAATATGTTCAAGGGCTCAATGCCAACATGTTTAAGGGCTTAATGCCAATATGTTCAAGGGCTTATTTCCACTCCGTTCAAGGGCTCAAAGCCATTATGTTTCAAGATTGGGCCCAAGGCCGTTCTGAAATTAATACAGAATCAGATTAAACGTGTAATCTCTGCATTTACGTACGCATTGATTTGCCTTATGATTTAAGTTGAATATCAAATTATAAAGGTATTACTATTCACTGAGCTTGGCTCACCCTGTGTTATGTCTGTTTCTGTAGGTAACCAACCTAGTAGTCAGTCCTAAGCAACGACGCCCGTCCTCTTTTGTCAACCTTTGTGTGTCCAGGCCCTAAATGAAACCACTCATATTTTTGTGAAGTTTTGGCGAACTTTTGGCATTGCCCTCTAATTATTGGCCTAAGGTTGAAATTTGTATATCACTTCCTTCGACAATGTTTTTTTGTTATACGCCCAATCATAGGGCTGGGCCTGTACATGCATTTGTATATAACCGATGTTCAGGTGTATGTTTTGGATTTTATTTGCCTGTTATGATGTTTATGATCCTCGCATAGTAGTAGTAGCTCAATGGCATTTGTTTCTATTGTTTTATGATATTTAATGCTTCCATTAAGGCCCCGTACGTTATGTATATCAGGTTAAATTTCTGTTTCTGATTAGATCATGCCCAAACTTTTAGTGGCGAGTTTGGGGTGCGACAAGTGGTATCAGAGCACGAGTTGCTATCTCACACACAGATCCATTGAGTTGTAGGGTGTCTAGAAAAGCCTTAGGCATTATGCATGACATCCTGAAAGTATATGAAAAGATCGATGGCAACGTTAAGTGTACTCTGATAATGCTAACAATTTTGAACTATGTCTATTTTATATAATTGATTGTTGTGTAGACTATGGTGAGAAGAAGGACAGAAGAGTCGGAAGATGCTACTTCTGCACGGTTGGATAGAATGGAGCGAATGATTACGGAAATGGCAGAGACCCTTTGACAACAATAGCAACAGCCACAACATCAACCGCCACCGCCACCTGTACCGCCACCGGTAGTACAAGACTTCCATGCTGAAGATCAGACCATTACCCTTACTAAGGGGTTTAAAAAGATGAAACCGCCGTCATTCAAAGGAGGAATAGAACCAATGAAAGCTGAAGCATGGGTGCTGGGAATAAAGAAGTTATTCGAAGTTTTCCTTTGTACCGAAGTTCAAAAGGTGCAATTGGCTGCCTACACTCTTGAGGACGAGGCACGGAGATGGTGGATGCTTACGAGAACTATACATCAAGGATTGATTTGGGTTAGATTCTTGGAATTATTCTATGATAAGTATTTTCCTCAAACTATGCGAGATAAGACAGTGACTGAATTTGAAACTCTCAGATAAGGGAACAAGACCGTTGCTGAAAATGAAGCCCAATTTGCAGAGCTAGCCCGGTTCGCACCTCATATGGTAGACATGGATTATAAGAAGGCACAGAAGTTTGAAGGGGGATTACGGGGTGCTATCTTGGACCGAGTCAATATGCTAAAGTTACCCACTTATGTTGATGTGTTGGAGAGGGTTGTCATAGAGGAAGGAAATATTGCCACTCAGAACCGGATTTTCGAATGGAAAGGAAAGAGGCAGAATACTCAATGGCCAAAGGGGTCAATTATTCCACCAAATAAGAAACAAAATTCATGGACTTCAAATACTTCTACCCGTAGTCAGGATTCAATCCCTGTTTGTTCAGAATGTGGAATGAAGCATCGTGGAACGTGCTATCGAAAGTCGGGAGCCTGTTTTCAATGTGGAAAAACGGGTCATTTGATATGGGATTGCCATCAGAGGAGGCAACAACAAAATGGCAATAGGGCTGCTACTAGTTCAGCGAGGTCTACACCGACTCCTAACACTAAGACAGCTACTAAACCTACTAACAATAAAGACACTGCGAGGCAGGGCAGGGTGTTCGCATTGGTTTCGGGAGATGTGCAAAATGCAGCAACAACGGTGTCAGGTACGTTTATTGTTCACGGTCATTCTGCTCATGTATTGTTTGATTCTAGCTCCACCCACTCTTTTGTGTCGAAACTATTTGCTCCTAATTTAGATGAAACTAAAGAAAAATTGTCTTATATGTTGTATGTGTCTTCACCTTTGGGAGAATCTATGATCTGTGCTACAATATACCTAGCTTGTGAACTCCAACTTGGGGATAGTCAGGTGTATGCTAATCTGTTACCCCTCGACATGACGTATTTTGATATTGTTCTGGGAATGGACTGGCTGAATGAATATGGAGCAATTATACACTGTTTGACTAAGCAAATTAGTTTCCACCCTCTGGGTCAATCAAAATCTACTTTTCAGGGACAAGAAGTGACTTCTCCACCTTATTTGATTTCTACAGCAAAGGCTTGTAAATTAATTCAGAAAGGGTGTTAGGGGTATTTGTGTAGTGTTTTGGAAGGGCAAGTGATGAATGGGAGTACCAATATGATTCCAGTTGTTCGTGAATTTCCGGATGTCTTTCCAGAAGAATTACCAGGGCAATTACTAGACCGTGAAATTGAGTTTATAATTAAAGTGGTGCCGGGAACTCAACCTATTTCTAAGACTCTGTATAGAGTGTCGCCAGTTAAGATGAAGGAATTGACGGTTCAGTTGTAGGATTTACTTGATAAAGGGTTCATCCGCCCGAGTGTGTCTCCTTGGGGTGCACCAGTTCTATTTATGAAAAAGAAGGATGGAACACTTCGTTTGTGTGTTTACAGGGAACTCAATAAAGTGACAATTAAGAGTAAGTACCCTTTGTCACGGATTGACGATTTATTTGACCAGCTTCAAGGGGCGCAAGTTTTTTCCAAAATCGATATACGGTCTAGGTACCATCAATTAAAGGTCAAAACTGATGATGTTGAGAAGACAACTTTTTAAACCCGATACGGTCATTATAAATTTCTAGTTATGCCCTTTGGAGTAACTAACGCACCAGCATCATTTATGGATTTAATGAACCGTGTTTTCAAGCCCTATTTGGACGAGTTTGTGGTGGTCTTTATTGATGATATCCTCATTTACTCGAAAAATGTGGAACCTCATGAGAACCATCTTCGCTTGATCCTTCAGATGCTCAAGGAAAAGAAACTGTATGCAAAGCTGAAGAAATGTGAATTTTGGCTACAGGAGGTCGCATTTCTGGGGCATATTATAACAAAGGAAGGAGTTTCTGTTGACCTATACAAAATTGAGGCGATCGTGAATTGGCCAACTCCCACTAATGTGACTGAGGTGCGTAGCTTTATGGGATTAGTCGGATATTACAGAAGGTTTGTTCAAGATTTTTCCAAAATCACTGTGCCGCTTACACAACTGACTTGAAAGGGAGTTGCATTTGAATGGTCAGAAGAACGGGAATTTGCTTTCCCGGAATTGAAAACAAAGTTAACTACAGCACCAGTGCTGGCCTTACCATCTGGTACTGAAGGGTTTGTAATCTACAGCGATGCTTCACATAAAGGGCTTGGTTGTGTACTTATGCAAAATGGAAGGGTTATCGCTTATGCCTCTCGACAGCTGAAACCCCATGAAAAGAATTATCCCACGCATGATCTTGAGCTGGCAGCAGTAGTCTTTGCTTTGAAGATATGGAGACACTATCTCTATGGCACTATCTGCGAAGTGTACACCGACCATAAGAGTCTCAAGTATCTGTTTAGTCAAAAAGAGTTGAATATGCGGTAGTGATGGTGGTTGGAACTTATTAAAGATTATGACTTGCAGATTCATTACCCGGTAAAGCCAACACAGTTGCAGACGCGCTTAGTCGGAAGAATATGGGAAATTTGGCAAATTTGGTTATAGGGCAAAAGGAATTAGCAACTGAATTGGATAAAATGGATGTTGACCTTGTACTACATGGGCAGGAAGCTATAATGGCTGCAATGATGGCCCAACCGACCCTGCTTGAAGAGATTAAATTGCATCAAATGGAAGATGAAACTCTAAAGAAGGCATGTGGGGAGTTAGAGACAAAACCAAAACCGGGATTTAGTTTAGTAGATTCAGTGCTCAAATTTCAAAACTGAATATGTGTCCCCAATCTGTTCGAACTTAAACAGAAACTGATGGAAGAAGCACATACCTCAAGATTTTCAATGCATCCACGGAGTACTAAAATATGCCGAGATTTGAAGCAAAATTTTTGGTGGCCAAGTATGAAGAAGGAGATCACGGAGTTCGTCTCTAAATGTTTGCAATGTCAGCAAGTAAAAGTGGAGCATCAAAGACCAGCCGGTTTGTTACAACCCCTTCCAATCTCGGAATGGAAATGGGAACATCTGACCATGGATTTTGTTGTGGGGTTGGCACGGACTCCTCGGGGTATGAATTCAATATGGGTCATTGTAGACCGATTAACTAAGTCTGCTCACTTCCTACCAGTAAAGACTCAGTATAATGCAGATAAACTGGCGATAATTTATGTGAATGAAATTGTAAGGCTTCATGGTGTTCCGGTCTCAATTGTGTCAGATAGGGATCCAAAGTTTGTTTCCCGATTCTGGCAAAGTCTACAGGAAGCAATGGGTGCAGAATTAAAGTTCAGCACTGCTTTCCACCCTCAGACTGACGGTCAATCCGAGAGAACGACACTGACTCTGGAGGATATGCTCCGAATGTGTGTGCTAGATTTTCAAGAAAGTTGGGAAACCCATCTACCGTTGGTAGAGTTTGCATACAATAATAGTTACTATTCGAGTATTGAAATGGCACCCTATGAAGCTCTGTATGGAAGACCGTGTCGTTCTCCCGTGTGTTGGGTTGAAGTTGGAGATAAATCCTTGCTAGGGCCTGAAATTGTTCAGTTGACAACTGAAAAGGTTAAAATTATTCGGGAAAGGTTGAAAGCTGCCCAAAGTAGGCAGAAGAATTATGCGGATAAGCGACGAAGGGATTTGGAATTTGAAGTGGATAGTCATGTCTTTGTAACAACAGCACCAGTGCTGGCCTTACCATCAGGTTCTGAAGGGTTTGTAATCTACAGTGATGCTTCACATAAAGGGCTTGGCTGTGTACTTACGCAAAATGGAAGGGTTATCGCTTATGCCTCTCGACAGCTGAAACCCCATGAGAAGAATTATCCCACGCATGATCTTGAGCTAGCAGCAGTAGTCTTTGCTTTGAAGATATGGAGACACTATCTGTATGGCACTACCTGCGAAGTGTACCCGACCATAAGAGTCTCTAGTATCTTTTTACTCAAAAAGAGTTGAATATGCGGCAGCGATGGTGGTTGGAACTTATTAAAGATTATGACTTGCAGATTCATTACCATCCCGGTAAAGCCAACACAATTGCAAACGTGCTTAGTCGGAAGAATATGGGAAATTTGGCAAATTTGGTTACAGGGCAAAAGGAATTAGCAACTTTATTGGATAAAATGGAAGTGGACCTTGTACTACATGGGTAGGAAGCTATAATGGCAGCAATGATGGCCCAACCGACCCTGCTTGAAGAGATTAAATTACATCAAATGGAAGATGAAACTCTAAAGAAGGCAAGTGGGGAGTTAGAGACAAAATCAAAATCGGGATTTAGTTTAGTAAATTCAGTGCTCAAATTTCAAAACCGAATATGTGTCCCCAATGTGTTGGAACTTAAACAGAAACTGATGGAAGAAGCACATACCTCAAGATTTTCAATGCATCCAGGGAGTACTAAAATGTACCAACATTTGAAGAAAAATTTTTGGTGGCCAAGTATGAAGAAGGAGATCGCGGAGCTCATCTCTAAATGTTTGCAATGTCAGCAAGTAAAAGCGGGGCATCAAAGACCAGCAAGTTTGTTACCACCCCTTCCAATCCCGGAATGGAAATGGGAACATCCGACCATGGATTTTGTTGTGGGGTTACCACGGACTCCTCGGGGTATGAATTCAATATGGGTCATTGTAGACCGATTAACTAAGTACGCTCACTTCTTACCAGTAAAGACGCAATATAATGCAGATAAACTGGTGATAAGTTATGTGAATGAAAATGTAAGGCTTCATGGTGTTCCGGTCTCAATTGTGTCAGATAGGGATCCGAAGTTTGTTTTCCGATTCTAGCAAAGTCTATAGGAAGCAATGGGTACAGAATTAAAGTTCAACACAGCTTTTGTCACGACCCGAACCCGCCCCCATGGGTTAAGGACGTAACCGGCCAGTAATCCTAAGATCACCTACGGCCTCAAACCAAAACAGACTGAACACATCAGAGTAAAGGGGACCAAAGGGAAGCCAAATTTAAAACTTTGTCCAGAGAGCTGTGCTTAGATGGCACATCAAAACAAACCATACATATGTACGTTAATAACTCACAACAAAAAGTGTAATGACATAAGATTCTATACAGACAGGATCATCCAAACTAAGTCAACCCATGAAAACTATACACAGATGTATTCAAAACTTCGCCGACCTGACAAAATGTAAATATAAAACAAAAGGGCGAAGACGGGTCTCGTGCGTGAGACACAAGGGCTGACTCTCTCAAAACCTTAGTTGCTCCATACAGACTTCACTGAGGCCGGGTCTGGACTTCTCTTGGCTCACCTACAAACACATGAATGAGCGTGAGCAAAAGCCCAGTGAATAATATCAAATCAAATACAGGAGTTACATAACAATGTAGAACAACATGTTCCGAACGGCCTTAGGCCCAATTCCTATTTCTATTTAACAGATATATAACTATACGAAATTCAAATCAAGTGACTGTAGTTCCAAACATTCTGGCCTTTGGCCCATTCAGATTTTCATTCATGTCAAAACGGCCTTCGGCCCGTTCATTTACGTCGAAACGGCCTTCGGCCCATACATTCATGTCAAAACGACCTTCGGTCCATTCATATATGTCAAAACGGCCTTCGGCCCACTCATTCATTTCAAAACGACCTTCGGTCCATTCATTTCTGTCAAAACGGCCTTCGACCCACTCATTCATTTCAAAACGGCCTCCGGCCCACTCGATTATGAGAAAACGGCTTTCAGCCCAATCATTTATGTCAAAACGGCCTTCGGCCCATACATTCGTATCAAAACGGCCTTCAGCCCATTTATGTTTATCAAAACGACCCTGGGTCTATTTATGTTTATCAAAACGACCTTTGGGTCCATTTATGTTTATCAAAGCGACCTTGGGTCCATTTATGTTTATCAAAACGACCTTGGGTCCATTTATGTTTATTCATTTCAGACTTACGTCCATAATTCCAATCAGCAATTCCAGCAATTCATAAAGCTTATGAGGGAATAGACAATTGGACATTCACAATTATTCGAATATCGATATTACTCACAGTGATCGGCTTGTGGATTCGCCCTGGAGCTTGGCCCTACACGTTTCATGAACACAAAAGGGTCATTAACAGTTCAATCCGTTCTTTAATTCACATATTCCTCTTTAGGCTTTATTATTATCTCATTAACTCATTTACAATGCTTAACATATGCCTAAGAGTGCTTGCAACTGAAAGACAACGGAAAACAGAACACAAAATGCAAAAACAGAATTTCAGAAAATAGGGTCGCCGCTCGAGCGTGGACTTCCCCGCTCGAGCGGACCCTTAGGTCTGCAAAAGTACTGGTTGCCTTCAATTCCAGCTCGAGCGTGAGCTCGGCCGCTCGA